GCTTTATTTGCTCAGTCCCTCACACACATCCAAGAGGGGAAATAACATAACACACTGTTGGGTATGAAATTGCCACACAGAATTCAAAAACTCAGTTCAGTTGACAGAAAAGCATTACAATTAGGCGATTTCCATAGAAAATAAAGCTGTTAAAATTGCAATTAAGATTCCCTCTGTTTGTGTGTTTGCAAAACTGAGTCATGAGCCTTTTGGGCTAATTTATTTGAGCCTAAAAGCTGTCAAACTATCCGAGCCAGCCCCTCTCGTTCTGTGCTACCGAACAGACGTTTCTGTCATGATTTGTTGATTCCACTCAGCCATGGCTTACAAACTCAAAATGACTTGTTTCTCTGTTTCCAACGATCTGAAATTTCTAGGGATGAAATGGAACCATCAGACAGAAACGCGTTTGACATTTTATTCTTCATCCACTACACGTCATTATATTTGATTATTTTAGTCATCTTTCTTTCTAGCAGAGTGCACTGGTTCCTCCACAGCTGCCCGATATGTTCCCAATGTCTTTACTTAACTGATAAATGAATATGGCAGAAAAATAGTGTAGGAAAAGCAATTCCTCAGGCGTCACAACAATTCCTACCCTCATTTTTCACATCCATTACTAAAGGAAAGGCAATGAGAGACACAAAGAAACCAACACCTGAGTTTTTGTCTCAAGCTAACCTTTTTCTTTTCCCATACTCAAAATGAATATATGCAAAAATCTGTCTACACATTATATACACCAATTTCATGTTTGTATGTGTGACAAAGGGACAGTACGATAGAATATGGAGGCAGAGGGAAGTTGCCTTTATCTTTGCTCTTCCTCTGAACAGCGGACTCATTTGTCTGTTTCATTCCGGATGCAGTGTCTGTGTGTTGGATGTTGAGGGTACTTTGCATGAAGATTAAGTGTGCTCTTTGACAGCACTGCCCCTTAAGAAAGACTGATGGGCTACTTTAAGAGACATCTGACCTTTAGGCCATGAATGAGAAAAAGTTTGTGTGCTCATTGAAAAACACTCCGTTGTATCTGGATATCTAAACTTTGAACATCACTCATCAAAGGTCCCTTTTTTTAATGAATTAAAGGGGCCCTATTATGCTTTTCTGGGTTTTCCCTCCCTCTGCCTGAAACGCCTTGATTGGACTCCTTTGTTCACTTCTGTAACATAGTGACATCACTTAAAACGTGTGCTTCTATTGGCTAGTATTCCACCCCATTGTACATGATAGACTAACCCCTAGATTCCACCGGGTCCGTCTGCGTCGCGTTACGGCCGCGTTACGGCCGCGTTACGGCCGCGTTACGGCTGCGCAGCGGCGTTCGCAAAGATCGCGGTCACTCTAGTCAATGGGTGCTATTCCACCAGACGTGCCGCGTTACGGCTCAGAAGCGTCCCAGAAGCGTCCCAGAAGTGTCTCGGCGCTGGGCTCCGCTCAAAATAGGATTCAAGTATATTAACTTTGCCTGTACAAAGTAGCCTGTCCAGGAAATATGCCCAAATCAACAAAAACTGCGAGCCGGCAGGCAAGACGATCCGCTTCTGAAATGCTTCTGAAATGCTTCTGAAATGCTTCTGAAACGCGCCCGGTAGGTTATGACGCCGGAGGAGGCCGGACCAAAACCGCGGCGCACCCGGTGGAATCGAGGGGTAATGGGCTGGAAATCTCAAAGCCGATGACAAATCACAACAGAGCCGGCCAACCAACCAATCAGAGCACACTGGGCTCTGGTTTCAGACAGAGGGTGAAAATAGGTGCTGCAGCAAAGGAAGTAGGAGAAACATAAAGACCTTTTTTATGCATTAAAGCATGGAAACATGTCACAGTAGAGGCAACAAATAAAATATGAACCTGAAAAGGCCCCTTTAAGACTCAAGAATACAAATGATGCAAACATATTAATCTTCTTGTAATTTCAAATGCTCAAAAACGTTTTAGCTCCACATCCACCTTTTAATTAATTATGCATCAGTCCAAATACTCCGGTGACGGCCCTACCTGAGTTGATGAAGGCATACAAAGACTATAATATTAATCTACTGTATGCATGCGGTTATATTTTGTATGGATTTTAGTGAGCCACAGGGTTGAATTTAAATGAGCCGCTTTTATAATTATGTGGTAGTTAATCGATTATTTCCAACTGGAAACTCAGAGGTCACAGTCAGTTACAGAAGAGCACGGCTGTATAGATTGAGTTTTTTTTCTGAAGGGCACCTGAGCAAGGACTGACTTCTCAAAGGCCAAACCAACAATGTCTTCCAATACTTTTCAACATCTCAAGACTGTCTGCTGCTCTCAAACTCAGAAACATGTCTACAAATGATCAGGTCATGATTACGTATTAACACTAAATAACTACCTAAAACAGTTGGGTACTGTAGTTTTAAGCAAACGTTAAATGAACAAACGTATACTGTTTGTTTTTTGAGCCACATATTTGGTGTTTAAGAAATCTTTAGAGTGTAATCAGTACATGGTAAAGACTCAAAATGAAGGAAAAGTGCACTTGTATAGATAGATAGATAGATAGATAGATAGATATACTTTATTAATCCCAATTGGGAAATTATTTTGTTACAGGACCAGTGTGCTCAACATTAAAATACAAATACGTAAAAGTGGAAAAGAGTTAACAATTAAAAATAAAATGAGAATGAAAAATAGTATAAACAAATATAAACAATGTAAAAAATATACAAAATTCTGGATAATGTAAGGATTTAATTCTGACCTTCGGTCTGAAAAAAACCCAATTTGACCGGGCACTGAACCCCGTCTCCCTCCATTACCATGAACGACTAAACATTGAAAGCTGTTAGCACTTTCTCAAACCTCTGGTCCACCTTTACCAATGACCTGTCGCTCAACCATGCATCAGCTGTCACATCAGAAAAGCAGCTTCTACTCTTGGGAAGCTAACTGCTAAGGTACATTTGTGACAATTGTTATGTCATGGTTAACAATAAGACACAGGTATACAGAAAATGTGTCATTAGCACATCTACTGCATGGTAGAAAACCTCGGACCCCATCAAGAGGGGATGCTGAACAGCTTCCATTTCACTGCCTGAGGCGCATACTGGGCATCCCCTGGAGGGAAATGATTACACACAGCAGACCTGGAGAGAGTACAGCTTCCCAGTCTGTACTCTTTCATGAGGCAGCAATGAGTCCGCTTGCTGGGCGGATGGATGATGGACAACTCCCCAAGGACAAACATGGAACGGTCATTCGGGAACAGGCAAAAGGCAACCCAAGCTAAGCTTTAAGAATATCTTCAAGCAAGACCTCAGCTTCAAAGTCAAGCCTGTCACCCGCAAAGACAACTAACACCATGAGGCAAGAGAAGCAAGAGGAAGCAACAGCAACAGGACCCCACATGACAATCAATGGTCAACAAATGCACCATCAGTGGCCGAGTCTGCCCCTCTTGGATTAGACTTTAACCAAAAGCCTGAGGAAACTATGATTTTCTAGAACTGTGCTCCACCAAAAACTCCCCAGTGGTCCCTCTTTTTGCCCAAATACTCACCATGTGCTTATTTTGGTGATAACTCACGTCTGAATTTGTGGCACAATATAGAATAGACATGATCATTAATCAATATTTTCTGCTGCCAACTTCTAGCTTAGCATCGATCAAAAAGAAACGGAGAATTAGGGGAGATTTTACCAACCTTTTAAGAAAAAAGGCAAAACAATGTGATTACAAGTTTGTACTATCACACAAACTCTTTTCTGATTTGGGGCTAAACAACATTTGTCCTTCAATAAGGTGTAATGGGCATTTAAAGGTCCCATGACATGCTTTTCCGGTTATTACCTGTCCCTTTGTGTGGTAGCGAGTAAAACTCTAACACAGAAAATACCTGTCTGTGCTGCCCCAGAACGCCTCGTTGGAGATTTTTCATTTTCCATTTTTTTCTTCCTGGGTATGGTGACGTAACCATACCCAAATGGACCAATCCGCGGAGCCGTTACGTTACGTCCGCGGATTGGTCCAAATGGACCAATCTGCGGACTTCGTCGCTGTAACGGTGGTGGACTCATCAGAACAGAGTGGGTGAGCTAACCAATCAGAGCACACTGGGCTCATAGGGAGGGGGGGGCAGGAGCTCCAACAAGCCGTTTAGGACAGAGAGTGAATACACATACTGTACAGAGATGCTGTATGAGAAACCAATGTGGGTTTGGAAAATTGCACAATGTAAATCTATTCTAGTATACCTCAACAATGGAATTATGATCAGTAGAAATGGCCATGTCATGGGACCTTTAAGAGTTTTTTTTACCTTTTTTTTTACTTTTACAAGATTCCTGACATTTTATAGGCCAAACAATTAAGTGATAAATGGAGCCTATCTTGGGAGACTAATTGATAATGAAAGTAATCGTTGCAGCCCTATTCATTTAATGTAAGACCATAAAATCCTGCAGGTAGAATTTAGATAAAGTGCAGTCCAGATATAGGAAAGAAGGAAAGCGGAAACGCTCCATCTGATAAACAACCAAATACAATTCCTTACACAAATTAATTAAAGAGCTGGGAGGATGTAAAAACAGTGATGAAAAAATAGAAATTCACTGTTTATGAATATTGCAATCCGTGGTCTTGTCAACATCTGTCACGCCATTACATTTTTACTGTAATTTTATTGTAATGTTGCACAACTCTAAAATGATTACCAAAGTTTTGTTTCTCTCTCTGTATTGTGCGCACTCATACACAGGATGCATTTAATATAGGCTTGAATAAATGACGCTGGGAGCCGTAAATCAACCTTTAAAAGGGGGGCAGGATAATAGATGCTAAAATAAGTGCTATAAAGCTGTCTGATGAGGGGAAAACAAACGACCCAGGATGATGCATCGTCGAACAGCCTCATGGGCTACATCACAAAAAAAATTAGTGATGATGACCCTCCACTTAGATAGAGCCCCATCCTCAACCCCAGTACCACCACTCCCCTCTCCCTCCGTCTCAACTCCTCCCCCCCCCTCTCTCTCTACTCATAAATCTATTGGCTGTGGTCTCGGCACCACTATCCAATGCTTTGCTGATCAGACTGCAGTTGTGTTTTGGGGAAGTTGGCAGCTGGAGGCTCACGGCGAAAGGCTTTCCTCTCTCTCCGGCGCTTGGACAGTGGAATTATGAGCAGAGCTGACCCAGCCTACATCACCCTGTCTTGAATCTGTTTTCTGTTTCACACCGCGAGAAGATAAAAAAAAAAAAAAACACCATGGAGATTGGAGTCCGCATCCTCTTGGCTTTCCTCGTCCCCCAGGTAAGACAGAACACATGTGTGTGCGTGTAAAAGTGTTGGCTTTATGGACAGTTTCACCCAGACGCAGATTCGTCTTTTTGTTTTTTGGGCATCTGCCTGCTCTCGCTCGCTCGGGCTACTCTTGACGCACACAGCAAGCCTTGACAAGTTTGTCCCGAGTCCGCAGACCACATACAGCAACATATTAGTCACCTGCACAGATCTTTATGTGCTGTGCCGAGCTAAGTTTATCAGCGTTTTTAGTCTTCTCTGTGTGCGCACGGCTGTCACCGGTGGCACAGAGTTTGGGGGGCAGAGGGGGTCGGGTTTGGCGATCTGCACTGAACGCTCACTTTAGGAATGCCTTAAAACATTTTTTTCAGAAAGAGAGAATGAAGGGAGGGTGGGGAGAAAAAAGGGAGAGGCGGAGGGAGAGAGAAAGAGGGGTTTATCTTATGTCTATGTGCAAATCACGGCTCCGGCTCTTGTCTCCAGTCGCATCTATATTCCGCTCAGCCACCAACTTGAGCGTTTCTTTGGGCTCGTGTGTGTGTGTGTGTGTGTGTGTGTGTGTGTGTGTGTGTGTGTGTGTGTGTGTGTGTGTGTGTGTGTGTGTGTGTGTGTGTGTGTGTGTGTGTGTGTGTGTGTGTGTGTGTGTGTGTGTGTGTGTGTGTGTGTGTGTGTGTGTGTGTGTGTGTGTGTGTGTGAAGCAAGCGGAGGGGAGAAGAGAAGAGGAGAGGAGGGTGTCACAGAGAACTTGGCCGCTCTGCTGTGTTATTTGTGGCGCCTCTCTATTTCCCTCAGTCTATTGCTCCCCGTAGACGCGGATTCTCTCTAGGGATATTTAATAAAGCCTTAATTCCCACTGTGATAGAGGCACTCGCCCGTTTGATCTGACTTTAATATGCGAGGGAAGGGAGTGAGAGAGAGGTAACTCTGAACAGCTGTGTCTGCCAGTCGTCTTTAGATGACTATTTAAATGGAGAAGGGCACCATCAAGGCTGCTCAATTTGATGTAACATCTCTTAACACTTCATGTGTGCACTTTTACAGGCGTGGATAACATCGCTGAGTTCAAGTGCCCTTGAGCAAACATGAAACACGCTGAAAGGATGCTTTTCTCAGCTGGCTTGACAGTTGACAATGAAAAAAACCCCACATATTTCCTTCAAGCAGATCAGTGCAAGTTATGCATTTAAGTCATCACCTTATAGCCACTTGATGACAGTGTCTGCTCTTGTAGCAAGCTGCAAAAGTTTAAGTGGCAGCTAATTTTTGAAATAACCAGGCTGAGCCCCGAAGCGTGGCAGGCAAACAGCTCATTTGGGAAACTCTGTGTTGTTGTGCTGCTTCTCTCTCTTCTTTCTTATCCTCTCTTTCTTCTGCAGGATGTGTTGAAAGGCAGCCGGCACCACGGCTCATTTGGTATTTCGTGTTTGACCTGTTGTGTATTATTCATTTTAATTGGATAAGCCATCGGCTCATTTCCACGTTGTATTTCGATCTTCTGATCTGAGGCGGTCATGATTCAGGCTAATAGTGCCTACAAAAGAAATAATTTAGCTCTCCGTTTTATTGATTAGGATCTGCCCCCTGTTGAACACAAACGCACTGCACACCCTCCCACCATACACACACACTGGGGAGGCTTTTTCCCCCATTGACTAAATGCATTCACTATCCCTATTACTACATGCGTTGTACACTAAGACTTTTCTTCTGTGCATTTCGTCTCTAGCACTTTGATGTGGACGATCAGGAATAAAACACACTAATTTAAACACAAACGTTACTGCAAACCCCCTTCCCCTCTGGCTCCCTGTTCTATCCAACAGAACCACCACACATTTCCAGCAAAATCGCTCTTACTTAAAGTATCCTCAAAAAGTTCAAATATAAAATATTCCTTTGATCTACCAATCCATGAAGACATCTTAAATCCACCTACCGCTTGTATTCTATCTTAACTAGTGACTCTCAAAGTTGGTTCCCTGGTACTCTACTGCACTTACAACAAACTAAACATTTTGTGCATCATTAAAAATAGCATATAGGGACAATTTCTGCAAATAAAACAATAAGTAGGTGTCCATTCCTCCAAAACAAGTGAATTCGGGCAAATATAAACTTTGATATGATTGGGACACATCATGCCAAACCAACCAACCAACTGTTCTTGCTGCTGCTAGCATTTGCAGTATTTAAGGAAGCTAACTCTAAATAAGTTCAATTAAGATAATCTGATGACAATTGTACCGGGCTTGGTTTTCCAAAAAGATAATTATAATTTTTTGAATACAATTAGTTCTAATGGCATCAATTAGTACCCAATTCATAATCTGTGTAAAAATGATGTTTGTTAAAAAATTGTCTTCCCTCTACGGGATCTCTGGCCCACCCAACAATTGATAACCTTTTAACTAGATAAAAACACCAGCAGCCTTTACTACCCAACCTGCGTGGGAAAAGTAATTTGAGTCCAAGAACGTTAGATTGACTGTATTTATAAAGTGCTTAATCCAGTCATTGCCGCTCCTCAAAGCACTTTTACCTCCACAAGTCATCATTCACCTATTCATACAGACACAGGGACTGCCATGCAAGGTACCATCTACTCAAAGAAGCTAACATTTACACACATTTACGAAGGATAAATTAACATGTTGACAGCAGGGGATCGAATCCACAACCTTCCAATTGAAAATCAACCTCACTACCTACAAAATGTTTGTCCCCAACACACATCAGATCCCACTGAACAGTTACCTACACCTACCTCCCAAGGAAACATTGGTCAACCTTCAAATGAATAAGGGTGGAGCAGAAGCCCAAACTCCTCCTGTGCTTATTGGGATGTCCGGTAATAGAGCCCATCATTAAAGCTTGCCCTCTCAAAAGTCTAAAAAGAAATTATCCTCGTGTTTGACTCAAGGACTTTGCATCCGTTAAATAAATAAAGTGATACCCTCAAAGACAGTGCCAGATCTGTAGCAGGTGAGATGTATGGTGCTGGCTGTCTTTTGGCCTGTACTTGTGGCAGGCTGATTTACATGCTGACCCAGCTCTATGGGGAAATCTTTATCATCAGGCTGTCCCACCCCAAGCGGTAGCTGTAAATATGTTTGAATATCCCCCACAAGTAGATGGATCCATTAGGTGAAAAAAGCCCATTAACACCACTGGAAACACCACTAAAAACATTTATCATATGTTTTCCAGTCAGCTTGTTACCCCCACCCCCCTGTTTCAGAATGACTGGAACGATGCTCAGGTAAGGAGCCAAGTTCCTCTTTGCAATAAGCTGCAATACTCTCACACACCCCCACATATGAGCACCACGGCAGAAGCAGCCCCCTCCCTGGCAATAAATCCCTGTTTTCCAAATGAAACGCTAAGCAGTCTTTCCGGGTGGAGCAATGATTCAGAATAAGCACAGCTGGGAGGTGCAGGTGTGAAGAGTTTTCTCCCCTTCTTTCCCCACACGGAGTCCTTCACCTTGTCTTCCCTCCTCTTTGTCTGTCTTTTATGTTTGCCCCCCCCCTTTCATATTTTGCTTTGTTTCACCACCCACCTACATCCACCCTTGTTAGTATTCTAACAAATTAATGTGATTTGCCAACCTTTAATCCCTCAATTATCTCCTCAAAAACATCATTTTCTTTCATTAAATGCTTTCTCTGTGTTTCTTTCTATCACTTCCTCTCCAGCATGACAGTTATACTCACAATTTAAATCATGGGCTGCTACCTGGGCGTGTCTGCGGTAAGATTTGCTGTCACAGACATTTATAGGCGCGGTGACCAACGGACTGTTAAAGTGTCCTGTTTAAGCCTCCGCGGGCACAGAGAGAGGCAGATACGGAGAGAGAGGAGGGAGGTCACGGTCTCCGAGATTTTTTTTTCAAGTGTGGCACCGGAGGCAAAGAGTTTCCATGGTGTTCTGTTACTCATGAAGAGGGCTGACCTTCGTGGTGACACATAAACAAACTCGCACCGGAGATGCCTGACACAGACAGCCACGCTTTATACTTTTATCCTCTCTGACTCTTTTGTCTCATCCTCCCTCGGTCCTGGAGGCAGCTCATTGATCTAGAATGATCAAAAGAGAGGACACGGCTATTCTTGGTATGTCAAGGACTATTTATTATTCAGGAGAGCAGCAACAGGTGGGAGAAATGAACAGGCACACACGCAAATTATATTGAGAGGCATGCTGCGCTCTTTTAATCTCGATTATATCTCAATGTTGAGGCATTTTCTCATCATAGGTTTTCTTGTTAAATCATATAATGAAGGGCACACTTTCCTGTGGTGTCCGCTCTACAGTATGTACAGATGGAGCCATGTCATTTCTGTCACTGGAGTTATGAATGATCCTTTCAAAGCCGGCCGACCTTCAGCTTACCTCTTGTTTCTCAGAAGAAGCTATCTGTGTGTGAACCTGCCACCCCTCTGTTACCGAGGGCTATCTCTATAGACACAATGGTTAAGGAGCAACAGTATGACAGGATACAAAGGCTACACTAATGAGGAATTTAAGGCTGGATGATTTATTTCTTCTCTTAACGGTGTCTTCCCTAACCTTCCTGGCTGCCCCGTTCTTCTCCTCTCTAAATGCTCACTGGTGTTTCCGCTCCCATGGTCAAGCAGACGGAATAAAGGGTTAGAGTTTAGCGAAATTGTAGAGAGGTTTGCAATTTTACCAGCATACAGAGACACAAAAACACTCAGAATAAAAAGAAACATGAAATTGCTCAAGTGAGAGCAGGCCAATACCAATCTACTGTAGACATCGCTGTTTAAATGTACTCTTGTGTTACTCCCGGTCCAACAATCGACTGGCAAATAGGCTTTCTAGTGCAGGGCTTTGAGGTTTTGGGCTCCTTCACATTCTACTTATCTTTGCTTTTTCCTGTGTGAAAGCACACTGCCAACCACAATCTGTGGTGCTACAGGTCTCTTTGAATTTTTTATATATTTTTGTGAGTCAGCGATTATTGATAGATAACATCGTACTCTAAA